ATGAGAGAAGAATAATGGAAACTCGACAAACGTGTTCGTCGAGTCTCTCGCGAAATTAGCGGACGTTCGCTGTAAATTATCTTTCGGTATCTAATGACTTTCAGAGTTGGCGGAAGGGAACGGGATACGAGACGGCGTGTAGCTTGTTGACCGCCGCTGATTAACAATCACTGCATATGCAAGATTAGGGAAGTTCGTAATGATAAGAACAGTTAGCTCGGCACAGATCGCACTTCCAGTGGTAATATGACCTTCGTTCCGTAACGTATTACATGCGTTATCGCATCACGTTCGGATAAACATTATCGGGGAAAGAATGAGAATGCAAGAGAATTGCACGCATTCCAGCGTAATTGAACTTGTAATTGATGAAAAGGAAGGATAAATAAGTAAACTCGAAAAGAAGGCAGGTGATTCGATGCGACTCAGATTGAAGCGGCTATAATACTTTTTTGCTCCAAATGATTAATTACCGCCTTATGAATACATTGACGGCGGGAAAAGAGAACACCAGTGAGAATTTCGGCGGCCTTCCCTCTTCGCTTTTCCACTAATATCTGTCGAACGTTTACGTGGCAAAACCTAAGGCAAATATTATTTCTCATATCAAACGAGATAGACCGCCGGATGTAGAAGGGGCACGTGCGTTGTGTGCGACGCTACCGCACTTCAATATAATATTTATAACTTCGCGGTATCCCGTCGGAATCCCCGTGTTGGACGAACACGGCGATCTGCAGAAAAAGATAACAAAATGCCATCGTTTGATTAATGAATGATTGATAAATGACGCGCACGTATGACTTTTCTAATTCATATTACCGCGAGGTCACTTGACGATCGTTTCTTGTTGAATTTCTTCGTGTTGCATGATAAAGGAATAAATATCTAACGTTACATAAAATTTGCGTAAGACAACTAAATGAGTTAATGATACTTATCAAAGGAAAAAAAACGCACAACGTGCGTGCATGTAATTTCCTTCCTTTGCAATTACAATTTAAAAAAAAAACATACGAGGAGCCCATAAGTAGCCGATCAATTTAGCGTGATGATGATGATGAAGTAGATAAGTTTCAATCGGTCGCGAAGCAACTTATAAGGTAAAAACTCGCGATCAGCCTTGCCGTCTGGATTTTTCGCCGCAGATCTGTGATTAGTGGCAGCAACTGCGCCAGTAAAAATCAGTATAACTGAACGAATAAACAAGAGACGTCTCGCCGTCGGGGAATACTCGCATAAAAATGAAAATCGACGGAACTCGTCGATTCTGTGTACTGTAAAGTATATATATACATATGAGAGTAATTGAGAGATAAACGCAGAAATATAAACGCGATTAAATATAAATCATAGCCGGAACATCGTCACGAAGAGTTTCCGCAGTAAATACGATCAACTCGATCATATATATTTGCAATGGGAGATTTATTAGCCGAGAGCTGATAAATTGCGATAGACGTAAAGATGTGATCTAACTGATGACAAATTAGCGTGTTGCTCGGAAGCGAGCTGAAAAAAATCGCATGACTTTGAAATATGTGGGATTATTCCGTGGCTATTTTAGACGACCCGTTAAACCAAGTAGCTGCTGCTTGTGTTTATTTACTATTCGCATGTAAATATGGGCACAAAGGAAAAGAGATACTATTTTCGAACGAGTAAATTATCATCGGGCTCAAGTCACTTCGGTCTTTGTGAACTAAAAAGTGAATGAAGGAGCCGTAAAAATTGTGCAATTACTTTTAAACGCGTTTCACGAACGCGTTTCCTGAACATCTTTCGCTCACATCGTCACACGTTTTATAAGTTAAAAAACGTTTAATGTAAAACGTTTATGCAGTCAATCAATACGTGTATCATCATGTAGGACAGTTAATAAAATAAACAATATTGCACCAAGAATTGTAAAAACAATTATGTAACTAGTTTTTCTAGTAAATCTCATTAAAATCTGTTTACTTCGTGGAAGTACGATTAACACGCTGTCTCTCTTAGAGATATTGCAATATTAAAATAATATATGTAACAAGCTTCAAGGTTACTTGAACTCTCTATTACAGATATTAAGAGCCACATACATTAATTACAGGATTGTGACATGAGCTAGCGATAGCGGTCTGTCTACAGTGATAGACGCGGTGACCGTGTGTCAGATATTCCATATGAGTAATTAGTGCCAATTGACCGCGGATTTATCACCGATCATTCCTTTAAAACAACAATAATTGTCGGCTCGCAACTGCGCGGCTCGATCGACCGTGATCAAAACACCCGCGTGACAAGGCTTGCGTTTCTGCAGCTTTAAAATGCAAGCTCAATTGTCTTCGTGCAACCGCGATTGAACTCGCCATCCAATCTTATGCTGCATTCCGATATTCACAATGTCAGTACTAAAAATCTATATTTTTTTATATTTTGCGTCACGTACTTATACTACAGATTTTCAGTACTGACAGTTGTTGACAGTAAATATCGGAATGCAGCCTTTACCTAATCCGACAGCGCCGCGGATCAAATCGCTCCTTAATCTTTCCTTCGTTCTACGGGAATGTTCCAGGAGAAAAAAGTGTTATGTCTTCAATTTATATTTAAAATTTTTCTCAGCAACCAACCTGTTTTATCTCCTGTTTTGTCTCCTTCACGTCTTGTTCGCGTGCTTTTTCATCGCTCTCCGTCACGTTCTTGCACGACGTCACCCTCGTGGAGACCGGATCGGCCAACGACGTGGACGACACGACGTTGACAGCTTTGCCGACCTCAATCGCGACTTTCTCATCGATGCCGCATCGATCATCGGACCCCGTCGTCGCCGGTTCGCTGCCCGAAACGGCCAAACTGTCCTCGCGACTCGACATTTGGCTATCGACTGACCGTTCGATTGGCGACTGACTCCCGCCGTCGACTCTCCGCACGCTCGCCCGAGAGTGGGGATCCTCTGAATCCGCGATCTTCGCTGAATCTGCAGGAGAAAACGAAATCGATGATTCAATAAGGCAACTCGAGAGAAATTTCCACGATATCTCTTCTTGAGACAGATGTGAGAAATCGTCGACGATTGAAAAGATAAATATTGCACTTTGATACGCGTGATAAATTTTTCCTATCGTTTCATTAATGTAAATTAACAATTAACATGATATATTACAGATTCCACGTATCCGTTTGACTGATCGGTTATCAGAATAAAAAAAAATAAAAAAAATAAAAAAAAATAATAAAAAAACCACAGAATTAATTGAGATCCGATCAGAGATGCTTACCAGCTTGGCTACATGGTAACAGTCGGCAATTTAGCATTGAGCATGCTTGCGAAACGTTCTTGTTCGAACACGATTCAGGTCCTAGTATCACACTCTTCACTTCCGTCTTGCACTTGCTTGTGAACGTCGAAGCTGAGTGCACGGAAGTGTCGTCATCTTCCTTGTGTTCGCCGATGGGAGACAGTGGTATTTCTGAAATACCCAATTCGGTGGAATTCACTGGAACGGAAGAAGCACAGTCGGGAGCCTCGACAGTTCTAGCTAACTCGTTTCCGGCTTCGTGTGAAAATTTCAAACGCGTGGGCGCCAAATGAACTTTTCTAAGTATCGGCTCTTCGACCAGCGGCGGTTCATCGTCCAGCAGGCTGTCCTGGAATTTTCGCGGTGTGGAGTTCGAGGAATCGCTGTCGCTCTTCACGTTGCGGTAAACATTCCTCGCGGCGGCGGTCCCTTCAACTTGCGTCGGGGAGTCGTCCGGATTGCACGGAGATTGTCTCACTTCCAAATTGGATCCCGGATGATCCTTGCGCTGATCTTGCACCGTCACCACATCGAACGAGCGGTAGTAGACCGAGATCTTTCTGCGGGGACTCGTCGGAGTGCTCGCACTGCTTACTTCCGGTACCTGGAAACTTTTGGCTTCTCCTTCACTTGTCTTCTCCTCCTCCTCCTTCTCCAACGTGGCCTTCGAATCCATTTGCGGGACGCTCGGCACCTTCGGCATTTCGCACGATCGATTCTCCTCGGAACGGCCCGGATCTTCTTGATCGGAAACGCTACGTGCTTCCGCGACAAGAGTAGATTTTTCACTACGGTCTTCCTGCGTTAGACCGTCTCCTCGCGCGAATGGAGCATCGGTTTCAGGATTTTGACAACCGAATGTTCGCCAGCGCGAGTCGTCCGCGGTTAAGCTCGACGATAACGTGTGTATCGATCGGTACCTATTAACAAAATAATCAGTTTGAATTCCAGCAATTTAGTTTCCATTAATATTTGTATACTGTTTAACATGTTCACGATGATACAGTGCATTTCGTGGTGACGTTCTCCTTTTTTCTTTTTAACGACCAATGACATTTTGCAGCAAATCGAACCGTTATATATTTTATAGGTAATTTACGTAAAACCCGACTTTGAGTTCTCGGACAGCGGACAGACTTTGCAATCGATAAGAGTGCTCTCGATGATATCGTGCAACTCTTCGATGATGGGCTCGATGACGCGGAACCGATTTTGGACGTCCGTGTATGTCTTTATAACTCTTGAGAACGAGTCATCGTCTTCGTTATTCACGCAGCCCGCAGACCGCAAACCCGTCTCCGCTTTCGGCCGGCTAAAATAGCGATCGTAGCAAGAGACGTTGAAGATTAAGGCAAGCTAAGTACACCGGGCATAAATTAACGCATTGAATAACTAGCGCGTAGTTAATCGCGGAATTCACACAAAGCCGACTATTTAACTTATATCTATATTATAGACGATACGTTTTCGCGCGATAACTGTTTAAATGTCAGCAGTAGCCGACGGCAAAACGCAAGTTCATGCATAACGCGAGTCTATTAAAACTTTTAATAGCCTTGAAACTTTGGCAGCGTGGAAACAAATTGAGCTAAGCATATTCGAGATGTGATATTCATCGTTTTCGTTTTCTCTATATAACGCTTACGTAATAACATTTAAAAAAAAGTTGAGAACAATATGCGGCGATTGTGGGAGCTAAAACGTTTTTTGTATGATTAGAACAGATATTCATATTCGTAAAAATAATTGTCTCAATTGTCTTCCAAATATTCGCCTGCAAATATCAATCTCATTAACAATATATTCAGGATATGGTATTCATCGTTTTCATTCTCTCTATACAGTGATTGCATAATAAAATTCAAGAAAAAAAAATAATTGCGAGTAATATGCTGCGGTTGCGCGAGCTGAACGTTTTTGATTAAAGCAGAAATTCATGTTAGATAATGGTCTCATTCGTATTCGCCTGCAAAGGCCGAGGTCGATCTCGATGACATAAACAATTCGTGCGGATTACAGAGACGACTAATTAGAACTGCACGCGTGGTGCACGCGCGCATAGATTTAGCGCAACGATGCCATTAAGGCAACAAATCAAACTGTCCTTGCTACGCGCGATTAATGTCTGCATCACATCAATGCTATCTGCATCTGTATCTTATTGTTAAGTTAAATGTACGCACACACGTGTCGCGTACTCGTAATTAATTATTCTATTATTTTCCATCGGTTCATCGCTAGTTTCGACCTCCGATCTC